ATGTAATTAACTATAGGGGTTTGCCCTTACAGGAAGCTTTTCTCGAACCCAGCATAATATAAACCCTATTTAATTCCTTATATTAAATAGGGGAACTTGTCGGCCAATACATTGGTTTCGCAGACCAAACGGATGTCATCACTTTCTTTAGTTTATTTGATCGAGCCTCACTCTCAATTCTTGCGTTCATCATTCGGGATAAATACATGATTTGAGATAAAGTGCTCTTTCATCTAAACTACGAAAATTATTGGGTCAGTTTGACTTCATTTTTTTCAAAACTAAATTTTTTTTTAAAAAAAAACGTCCTTCCGAAGCGAGAAACGGGATTTCAATTCCGATAACCGACAGCTTCTTACGGGCAAACCCCACACAAAAAATAGTGCCGACAGCTGCTCGCGGCTATCTTCTGTAGCTCCCGTTATCTCCGGTCACTAACTGCTATTGTCAGCACTCGTCGCTATCATCGATCGCATGCTGCTCGCTGCTATTGCCGTTCGCCGCCGCCTCTTCAGTTTGCTTCTGTCGCAGCCTTTGTCAGCCGCTACTGCCGCCCACATCAAATGCAGTTCTCTATCGTCGACTGCATGGAGCAACCTTCTCAGATGGCCACCGCAATTCGTCACTATTGGTACTGTTGCCACTTCCTTCTCGAGTTGCTACCTGCCTCTGCTGCTGCCATTTGCTGGCGTAGGCAGCCTGCAGTTGCATCCAGTAGCGGCTGGCCACGCCCCCCAAACCGGCCGGGGGGGTGTCTGTCGCAGCCCACCAGCCAATTGTTGTTGTCCCCTCTCACCACCAAATAAAAAAAAATATTTTGAAATATATTATTTTTAATCAACTTTAAATCAAATAAAAAAATATAAAATTTTATATTTATTTTATAGTGAATCAAATAATTTAAACATATTTTAAATTTATTATAATCATAATATTGTATAAATCTTTTAGATTGAATTCGATTTTCATCAAACAAAACATCTCATTAGGTGATAAAGATAAACCAAGGAAAGTTTACATGAGAATTGGGTGGTAAAGAGTTGGTGGAATCTTTCGGAACGTAAACGTCGCCATTACGGATTTATTTCCGCAAGCAATTACGTACAATTATCGATCAATCAAAATAAAAATTGACTTAAAGGAAGGGCATTTATGTAATTAACTTCCACGAACCCGTCTATATAACTGAAGAGGACCAACCATTTTAGAAACATTAAGCGGTCTGAATTGTTCCTTTGTTTTCCAAGGAGGTCCTGTAGCAGAGAATCGGAAATGGCGGAAGAGGGAGCCGTGATCGCATGCCACACCGTTGAAGAATGGAAACGCCAGCTTGAGGTGGCTAAGGAGTCCAGCAAACTGGTAACATTCACCCTCTTCTTTTCTTTTTCCCTCGTTTGAATCACTGGGCGACTTCGATTTCTTGTCCTGCAAGCCGATTCGTCATGTGATTGTGATGATTCTGACTAGGAGTGAGTCGGATCTTATTGATGATCGGAATTTTCTTCTGTTGATGATGGGTTTGGTGTGATGGATTTGATTTTTGAGGGCATGTGTGACGTTCGCGGGGGTTTTTGGTAAATTTTGTTGAGTATTTAATTTTTATTACTGTTTGATACATTGTTGAGGATACGTATCTAACCCTATTTTCATTTGTCATTTATTTCCTTATGTGTAGATATCTATTAGTTCATAGAAAGTAGGGTTTATATTTAGTAAGTATAAATTCCGCTTGACGATTGCATGGTTACCCTGGATCTGTTTACTTCTCTCAATCATCTTCTTCCTGTTTGCGTCTTTTTCATATCGTGGCAGGGACCGGTCTTTCCACAAACAGTATATTTGATTCGCTTAGGGTTTCTATTTTATTTTGTCTATGAACATGTCACTTTCTATGATGATAAATTTATTGCCTTGTACCTTTTATGCTGTTCTTCTCTTCATGTTCACGGTGTCTAACAGAATTTATATTTGCTACTTACCAAAGGTTTACATGTTGGTATAGATATTTTCATATAGATTCATCTTGTTCTTTTTGAATCGCGCTTCTTTTCCGGTTCTGCCGGTGCATATGAATGGTTTTATGAAAGAAAAAATGCTATACGCCCTAAAAATAGTCTTCCATGCAAGTGTTTTGATTTTGGGTATCTATGCTGATCTGACTGGCACATAATCTTTGCGTTTGATCCCATTAAAAAGATATATTGGATGGATAATGCAGTAAATGACTTGTGTTCTAGGTACCGGATTGCAAATTATAGCTGGCAGGCCCGTAGTGTGACATAATTGCGCAGAATTTAAAATTTTTATGTATATTTCATTGTTTGGCCTGCAAATCTTGAACTGTATAGCAATTAGCAATTAAAAATCCTTTAGTGTCCAAAGAGTAGTAATCCCAATTAGGGCTGTAAACGAGCCGAGCTTGAGCGAGCTCAGGCTTGGCTCGTGTTCGGCTCGTTCGAAATCGGCTCGTGTTCGAAATCGGCTCGTGAACAGTGTCTTCGTGTTTTGCTCGATTTAAATATTTGTGTTAGTGATCGGTTCGTGTTCTGCTCGAAATTGGCTCGTTAAACTAAAATTGAGAAAAATAGATGTAAAGTGTGGGATTCGAACTTAGATCAAATCTATATAAAAAAAGACACTAACCACATTGCCACATGAGGTGTTATGATTTAAACTTAGACATAAATATATATAATATATTATTATATAAAAAGTTATATAATTTTTTTTTTTCGAGCCACGAGCGAATAAACTGTTGTGCGTGCTCGGGTTGTTTACATTTTCAGCTTAAAAAATTGTTTGTGTTCGACTCGTTAGGCTTAACGAACGAGCCGAACACGAGCTGCTTAACGAGCCGAACACGAGCTGTTCACGAACAACTAGCCAAATTGACAGCCCTAATCCCAATCCATCTCGATTGTATGGAAATTTAATTTTATTCCATGCAATTGTGGAGTATTTTCTTCCCTCAGCTCTGATTCAGGCAGTGTGACTTTGTACCGAATAGTACAATCCCCATAACAATTAGAGTGAAATAGAATAACCTTCAAATTTTAATTTATGCTTGTATTTGGGCTATAGGAAAAATCATTTAATAGCATACGATGGGTGAAATTTTTTAAATTGGTGTAAAAATTATCCTCCATTATATGAAGGCTAATTTATCTTTTGAAAACAAATATTCCATAATAATGCTAGTAGCGGTAGGATAAGTCCGCATAACCTTAGCAAATGATGAGATTTAGTTGCGTAATATGCAGTGAAATTTTCAGATCTAAAATTTGTACTTTTTAATAGTTTTGGATTTTTTTTGCAAATCAGATCCCTGCAAACCCAAGACTTCACACATCTATAAGGTTTTCTAACCTCTTCAAAAGTTTTATAAAGTTACTTTTAGGTTTCTCTCAACCACCCTAATTCCATCAATTGATTCTATATGTGTGTGTGTGTGCGTCTCTCTCTCTCTCTTTCTCTCTCTCTCTCTCTATATATATATATATTATGAACTTTTCGTTCAGGCCTACTTATTATATCAACTTTATTATTTTCTGCGAGCGCGCGCACGCGTGTGAGATATATATTGCTATCCTTATAGTTTTTTTCCCACACTTTTATTTCTATCATTATCTTCCTAAATTTTTATAATGACTAGCTTCATCTCAATGAAAGTTTATTGTTGATTTATGTCTTCCTATTTTACAAAATGGAAATCTGGATGAATGCACTATTTCTAAACTTAGAGTTGGGTCATTAGATTAGAGATGCTATAGGATATGATAAGAAAATATTTTGAATGCTTTAATACAGTAGCTGTATTATATAGTTTTAAGTGTTGAGCAGTAATAATAACTGGCAGGCATATTGAGTGAGACAATAATGAGACTGTTAAGATTGATATCAGGTTAATTATGGAAGGTAGAATGAAATAGCTTATAATAATAAAAGCAGAAGAATAGCACTTCAATATAAGGTGATGAAAAATCAGTATGTCATTTTAGCACAACAGTAGATAAAAGAGCCAATGATGTTAAAAGATGATGGGGGGATTGGGCAAACCTATGATTCCATGGTTCGAAGTTGAGCGGCTAATTGGCACAAATTAGAGTCTACCTCCTAATTCGATAACCCTAAACAACAATAACTGGAGAGAAGATTTATTAAGCTGATCTCAAATAGTTGAATATAAGACTAATCCTTTTTTTTTTTTTTATGTTGTTGATGTTGTTGGACTTGTATACGTAAGTAGAGAAGGAGTCCACGCTAATGAGTTTTAACTTCCTGCACTCACTCACCTGCTTCATTCCCCTTGAATTTTTTGTTTGCCAGCATTGTAAGAAGTTAAGTATTATAAGCATGCTCCCAAAACTATGAGTGAACTAACCCTATTGGTTGTCTGCATCTGTGCATCCCTAGATGCTTTTCAACACCGAGTTCCTTCTTATATTTTTCTCATGTGCACGGCCAATGCTATGTTAAGCTAAAGATATTATATTAACATTGCATGAAATTCTGTATATCTTATGATTTATTACTAAAGCAATTATTTTTATATTTTTTTTGGATAATCATTTGAAATGCTATGGTTGATTCTTTTCTTAATTTTTTTCTTGCCTGCATGATTCTCCAAGAAATCTTTTCTATATTAATGGTTTAGTCTTTTGAATTTTTTATCTACATTGATCAACGTTTTTTTTTTCCCGAAAGTTGATTCAAACGAAAGAGTTTAACCAAAATGCTATAGAACAAAAGTCCTGGCAGATTTTCCCTTCTTGACCACCTCTAAGCAACCGTAATTGTTTCTTCAATGCAGTAGTATCTACAACTATGGGCGGTGCTGCCATGGAACTAGTACTCAGGCCACATCCAGGAAAACCAACTTTTTAAAATTATAGTGAAAGTATGTCTATTGAGGAAAAGTTGACTCCGGCTCATTTGAGTAAATCTAATCATGATCATCAAATTTTGATAAATAGCCCTAAAACTGAAATTAGATTGATGGTTGAAGTGTAATGTAAGTTCATCAATTATATTCTCTAAATACTCAATCATTATCACCATCCTCAAATCTTCCTCCGAATAATCACCACATAGAATCATCCCATAATAAGAAATACGAAATAACTGGAGTTACTATGTTTAGAGTACTGATCACATAAAAATTTATCAACATCATAGCCATCATTACTAGGTATCAACAACCAATTCATGAGAAGCTTAACAGCTACTACATTGCGCAAAACAATATTAGAAGTATCATCATACTTAACAGACAATCCCAAATATATCATTTGAAGGCATAAACCGAAGAATTGAACTCCGCCACAAAACCATAATAAGCAGATAAGTACTCCAAAAACCTATAAGATGAACAAAAGAAACTGCAAACCAATATAAAAATGGATCCCAACAAAACAAAATGTCTCATTATTTAATTTTTAGTTACGACAAACTTAATTTATCCACAGATTAATCATCCCTTTTAGCTGAGAAGCGATGGAGCTAGCAACAAACTCAGTATAGAAATCCATGCCTGCATCAGTTTAAGCAAGCCAGTTCGCACTGGCACTTTAAGTTCAAAATTCTGTAACAAATTTTTAGTATCACATAAAAGGAAAACCAACCGGATATTTACCTAAATCTTTCCATTCGGTTCAATAATCCATTGGCTTGCCTTAGTTCATTCTTGCTAATTTCATAATTTTAATTTAGTGTACTTTTGAAATCGACATTACCTTTAAGCTTTACAATTTCTACAAAAGTCTAGAATGTAATGATTTCAATTTCATTCAGCAAAAAAATTGAAAACAAAACCATCATTTTTCCATACACGGGTTCTATTTACAAGCAACAAAACGAGCCCTCTCGGAATGTGCAATTTTAACCTAACAACTGCGAGTTTATCTCACACTTTCATTGTTTATCTAAAAAACATAGTATCACCGATTACAAAGATTAATATAAGGGGCATTTACATACATACCACCCAAATCCTATTTATTTACATGTCTAATACATAAGCTTTACTTTAAAAAAAAAAAAAACATTTATACCACCCAAAATTTTCATATCACATAAAAATACCAAGATTCAAACAGTTACAAAAGTGAAATACACCTTTTCATGCGTGCATAAAGTGATATGTATGCAAACATTGAAGTATGTGTGTTAGATATATAAATACATAGGAATTGAGTGGTATGTATGTAAATCTAAATATGCGGTTGGAATAATTAGTAAAGTCTGATGCTCATTTTCAAACCAACCTGCAGGTTATAGTGGATTTTACTGCTACCTGGTGCGGCCCCTGCCGCTTCATCGCCCCAATTTTCGCTGATCTCGCCAAGAAGTTCACTGAAGCCATCTTCCTCAAAGTCGACGTCGACGAACTGAAGGTACGATGCATCTGCTAATCTTTTCTCGTCTCATTCATTGCCTCATTTATCTAACTCAGACAGCTATATGCATATCAGGAGGTTTCCGCAGAATGGAAGGTGGAGGCAATGCCAACCTTCCTCTTCCTGAAAGACGGCCAACTTGTGGACAAGATGGTGGGTGCTCACAAGGAAGTACTCCCTAACAAGATTGAGCTCCTACTCAAGAAACAGTGACGTTTTATCTGTTTTTGTGTTTAGCAGAGTAGCACGTTACTTTATGTCTGTCTGCAACCTTTTTATTGCCTGCAATCTTTATCCAAATAAAGACTTATTGTAACCTTGGATTTTTCCATGGGGTTTTTTATCTTCTTACACTATATATCTTGTTTTGTGTTGTAATGCAACTATGTTTTCTCTATACTGCAGTTTACTCTGGTTTCGAAGAAATCCATATGTGTGGATTAGGGGCGTGCACCCAAGTACACCCTATCTGCATGTTTGGATCATTCACTAATGTTTTGTTTCCTAATTTGGGCACTCTCCTTAGTTAAATATCTAACACATAAAGATTAATATTTACATACATGATGCATCTTTTCATGCATGGGTTTATGACAGCAGTGTTATATAGGAGTAAAAATTAAATTTTTGGTGTTATGCATGTAAATACATAAGTATTGAGGGGTATGTGTAAATTTTTCTTAGATATACTGATGGGGATGGGAGTTTGATGCTCAGTTCTGCCAATCTTTCTGTACAGTAAATTAGTGTATGTGGCATACATGATGCTAAATAAATTTACAAGTTATTATATGGTGCATCTGTATTCTTGGAGAAATTATTTTAATTAATATTTAGTTTATATATATATATATATATATATGATTTTTTTTTCTTATATTTGAATGCTCTAATTAAAAATTATAACTATTTTACTTTTCACTCAATTATTTATGCTCCTATTTAGGGTTATACATGACACTTTATCCCATACTTTCATTTAATTCTAATAAATTAAGAATAAAATCATAAATGAAATTCTAATAAATTAAGAATAAAATCATAAGGTTATTATATTAAAACAAATAATTTCTTATTGTTTGAAAGTTTGGACAATTGCATTTAGTTAGTTTTTTTAATAACACATTAATCCAATACTAAGTATGAAGTTAAAAACACGACATGGAGAATGGATAAGTAGTGTATAAACATTTTGGACTATATTTAAAATTTTTCTCAATTCAAAATTCTTATGATGAAATATATAAATATTAATTAATTTAACAATTAAATTACACTATACAAATGTACATAAGTGAGAGAAATAAGATGCCTCCAACTAATATAAATGAGCGCACAAGTATTAAGCACAACATGAATTGTTACCTTCACAAGTGTTAACATACTTTCATAATAAACTAAATGAAGGTGCATCAATAAAAGATTAAGCAAGTCAATGATTAACTATTAAGTTCTATACAAATTGAATATTTAATTAAACAAACTATAGTCTTTAAACCATTATGCACTAAAGCTATTATAGTGCAAATGTCAAAATGAATAATGATAAAGTAAAATAATGTATGCTAAGTGAGATTAATAAATATTAAGTACAAGTAATTTATTACACCCTACAAAATAGCTTAACAATGTGATTCACACTAATTTTGGTTAACATTTAAACCAATGCAATTAACCAAATAAATAACAAACACAATAAAATCAAGCAATGAATATAATTTTGAACAATTAAAATTTTATATTATTTTGCACCCAATTGTTTACATCAAATACACACAATGTCAATCATGAGTATGATTTTTCTAATGAATCTACAGTTACAAGCCTAAGACACAATGTCTAGAAGTAATCTTCAAATATCATTATAAAATATTCCCCAATTCCTTCAAACATATATGCACTAACAATAACCCTGATGACAACTCAAAACAAGTTGTCACTAGTTAGAATGAGAACATTATAATGAGTCCCAAAAGGAATTCATGGCTTTAAACATTAACATGCTAATACATGTCCACCCTAGCATTATCGCTAGTATTGTGTGTGTGTGGGGGGGGGGGGGGGGGGGGGGGAGGAGAATAGTGAAAATGTATATTCAAAGAACAATGATTTCTACTTTGTAAGAAATAAGGTATAAATATTTGTTATAATACATGGATTATCTTAATTAATTATGAATATTATTAATAATTATGCTTATGATATTATGACTTCGTTATATTTTCATCAATAAAATAACAATAATAGCCTATAAACTAAGTTTAATAAATATGATGACAAAATTTGTATCAATTAATGTTAGAAATGCATAAGAATAATAAGAAGTAATCATGATATAAACACACCATCAAAAAACTAATTTATAAATATCCAATAAATAAATATAAAAAAATAAAACAAGATTAACCTTGAGATCATAAATATTTACTTGATTCTTCATGAAAAGACTTTTTGAGCCTACTTTTAAAGTTCCAAATCCTTAAACCAAACCTAATAAAATCATATACACCTTGATAGCTATTGTACATTATTTAATTTAAGCTAAACCCTTATCAAATCATTGCTTGCACCATATGAATCGTATGAACTCATTTGTTTGAAACAATGCACACATGCAAACAAAATGTAAATATTTTTAACTATAAAAGTTTATATAATTTTTTGGGATATAATTTTTCAGAATTTAATAAATTTAAATTTATGAGATTTACTAAATCCTACCAGATAAGTAGGGGTGTAAACGAGCCGAACACGAGCAAGCGCAGACTTAACTCGTGTTTGGCTCATTTATATTTCGAGCTCAAAAAATGTGTTTGTATTCGGCTCGTTTGCTTAGCGAGCCGAACATGAGCCGTTCACGAACAGAGAGTCAATTTGACAACCCTAATCACCTAGCCATAATTTGAATATAATTTAATAATTTTTATTATATCTTCTTCATTAATACTTTTAATTGATTATAATTCTTTGTAGTCTTGTAGTCAATTAATTCATATTGTTTTTATTCGACTAACTGATTTAGTAAACGAATCGAACATGAATTATTAATGAACCGAACATGAGCCGTACAAACAGCAGTTTCGATGTGCTAGCTTCTTTATTTTGGATTTCTTCAAAAGTTAAATGGAGTAAAAAAAAAAAAATGGTATGATTAAATGCGCTACCTGTCCTCCAATGTGACAGCGCCATGCTTACCATCTCTGAATTCTATCCAACGATATCCAAATCTGAAATATAATCAGTCCATTCCGGCAATTTTTACCGGCGCTGCGCCCTAAAATAACGGGAGAATTCCTGGAGAAAAAGAGGGCGCAGCTTCTTGTTGCTCCCCATCCCTACCAGATCTTATCCTTTTACAGTTTTACTCACTGTTGTCTGCATTTTTCTGGTGCAGCTAGGGTTAGGTGTTTCTTCCACCTTCTCCGGTTCTACCCCCTCCTTTTGGTTGCTACTCGTTTAGCCATGGAGGAGATGTACGCAGGTTTGGCAGATTTTCTCAAGAAGCCGGAGGTGGTGGAAACATTGATCGACATCGTGCTGTGCGCGGTGCCGATCTGGGTCGCGGTCATGATCGGATTGGTGATTGGTTGGTCCTGGAGACCGCGGTGGACGGGGCTCGTCTTTCTTGGTCTCCGGAGCAGATTTCGGTTTTTTTGGACGCTGCCGCCGGGTTTTGGTGCGCGGAGGCTGTGGTTGGCATTCACTGCGCTATCTGCCTTCTCTGTTTGCCGCAAGCTGTGGTCAAACTTCAGGGTCAAGGTTCCGGAGCTGCCTGCCGGCGAGGAGCGATCGGTTGTTGGAGATGGTGCGGGATTCGTGAGGTGTTAATGATTTTCAATCCCTATGTCTTTTTACTTTGATTTTCTGTTTTAGTTGGGGTTAACTTGGATTTGATTTTGTTGTTCTTCTGTTTTACTATACATCTCGTGGATTTTCTCTTAATATCTATAATGTGATTGATCACTACAGGAATTCGCTTTTTCTTGCCCGGAACATTTTCTGCTATTCACTTGGTTTTGGTTTTGTTGTTCTTCTATTTCGCTACACATCTTGTGGATTTTCTCTTAATATCTTTGATGTGATTGATGACCATAGAATTTTAAGTTTTCTTGCCCGAAACAGTTACTTTTTTCGTCAATTTGCCAAATCACGTAAGTCTGTGTGTTTATGTTATGTGAATTTCTCGTTCCAGTTTTTAACTTTATTGCCATAATTTTTTCATAACAACTGGTATCACAGACCCGATTTGGATCCGGGGAAAGCGATGGCTAGAGATGAAGTGATGACATCGATGATTGAGAAGTTCAATGACACAGATTTTGGTTACTGAAGTATGCAAATAGAGAACTACCTCTATGAGAAGAAATTTCATCTTCCGTTACTGGGAAAACGGTCGGACAAGATGGAGGAGACATAATGGAATCTGTTGGATCTTTACAAGTTCTGAGGGTTATTCGATTAATTTTGTCGAGATCTATTGCCCACAACGTCATCAGAGAAAAGACAACTGCATATCTCCTGATGATTTTATCAGGTATGTATAAAAAGTCATCGGCGAATAACAAGATGCATTCAACTTGAAGATAACATGTGTGTCTGTTGCTCAACATCTGAGTGATTTCAATACTATCACAAATCAATTGTTGTTTGTTGAAATTGATTTTGATGATGAGATTCGTTCGCTGATATTGTTGATTTCATTGTTAAATAACTGAGAAACCCTGAGGATAACAATTAACAGTTTTGCAGGTAAATCTATATTGAAATATGATGATATTCGTGATTTGATTTTGACTGAGGAGGTGCGCAAGAAAGATTCTGGCGAGATATCGGATTCGAGTTCGAAATTGAATATTGATTCTAGAGGGGGATCACATGACAAAAACCTCAAATAGAGAAAAATCAAAATTAAAGTTTGGTCAGCAGTTAACCCGCAGGAATTATGACAAGTGCCACATAAAAAAAAAAACTGCAGAAATCCTAAGAAGAAGAAGAATGATGACGCTAATGTTATAACTGAAGAAATATAAGAGGTGCTATTGCTGACAATTCACAAATAACACCTGAAAGTTTACCAAAAGAGTATTAGTACTGGCTCGGGATAAGAAAACTGACACACTATATATGATTATAGATTTACTTAACAATGTTGCTACTATAGTTGCAGAGCACGATAGATCTGCGATATTGCAGACTTGGTCAAATGAGTCAGAGCTATAAATAAATCTTACGAGAAGAAAATTGGTGCAAGTGGGAGTTGCTCATGAAGGAGGAGACAAATTTCCTACCAGAGAATCAGACTTGGGAGTTGACAGAAATTCCACCAGGGAAAAAGACATTGAACAACAAGTGAGTGTACCAGGTGAAGACTGCGCTTTATTACAGTAAGAGATACATGACTGGACTTGTTGGAAAAAACTTTCAACAGAGGCAGGAAATTGCCCATGCAGTGTGATTCGTAAGCAGAAACATGAGTAACCCAGGAAAAAACTTGGAGGTAAAATGCTATGTTAATGCTGATATGTCGACTAAGGGTGTTACTTTTGAGAAGCTGAAACTGTGCTCGACTTCAGCTGGTCTTTTGACATGAAGACTGTGGCTTTGAGTTGCAGATGTGGATGATATTATGTTTGAAGAGAAATGACGACGCAATAAGTGGATGATGCAGTCGGTGTACTAGTTTTTAAGTGGGAGATTTGTTACGAATATGGAAACCACTCTACTATTCAAATTGACAGTTTTTCATATTTGACAGCAAATTGTATTTGATACTCGAAATTAATCGCAAAATTAATTGCTCTTAGTTCCTTCCTATATTTTCCACAGCTTTCCTTGTATGAATCCCGTCATCTATGATTTACTGCATGAGAGAAAAAAAAATAATTAATGAACTTCATTAATTTTTTGATTAATTTCTTAATGAGCCTAATATCATGATGAAATTAATAGATAATCATGCTATAACTCCTCGTGGAATCTCTCTCGGGATTTGGTTTCCAACGCTTCTTTTTCGACTGTTGCTCTTGAGAGGAGAGAGGAGAGATGAGAGTGGAGAGCGGAGAGCGGAGAGAGGAGAGAGGAGAGAGGAGAGAGGAGAGGGGGGAGAGAGAGATTGTTCTTTCTTATAATCGTCTAGGGATCGATGGTGTGTAAATCCTTAAATAATAAAATCCTCTACAACTCCGTGGACGTAGGCAATTTGCTGAACCACGTAAATCAGTGTGTTTCCGTTATATTTTTTGTTTTGCGAATTTTTCGTTCCAATTTTTCATTTTATTGTCGTCTTGTTTTCATAACATCTTGCCCGGAACATTTACTGCGTTCCACTTGCATCTAGTAGAACTTCTATTTTTTTTTCTCAAATCGAATTGATAACACTCAATTTCTCATCATTAAAGGGGTAGAGCAGGGTCATTTTAAAATTTAATAATTAGCAGTTTTAACTTCAGGATATTGTTGATAAATTGTAACTTCTTATGTCTAGCGAGATAATTCTTTTGTGCAGTTTTTTGTTCTATGAATAATGAATATAAATTAGCCAGAACTATGTTTGGTTGTGACAAAATGGAAAATTTATTTTGTGGCTTTGTGGGGATATAATTTTGCAAGGATTGCTCAACTAAGTATGAGGTTCAAAAGCTATTTTCTTTGATCTTCTCCTATGTTATATTTTCTTTGATCTTCTCCTATGTTATATTTTAATCTAGCAGGAAATAAAAAAGTTGATATCAGAAATGAATCTGTGCTAGCTAAGAAGTGTGTACATATAAATTAGTCATACTGATTATCAACTTTTCAGAGGGGTATAATATTAGTTAAGTCCCGGGTTTCACAATTCGTGCTTTATAGGGGTTGCTTCACGTAGACGGGAGAGCTGTTTTGCAAGTATGCCCTCCATTGTTGAGCATTGGAGGGTGTAATAAGTGTTAATTTTTGGTTTCTTGCAAATTCAAGGCTTCTTTTTATAAAGCAACATAGTAGCAATGAATTTCCTATCGACGCCTACATAATCTCATATCAAATTCTATAACTATTACGACTGTCCTGTGTAGTGCATCCAAGCCCCCTATAGGCGCGGGGACGAAAGCCCGACAAAGGTTAGACCTGATGGGAAAAAAGCACGAAAACAAAAGTACATGTCTCATGAGCTGATGACTATGATTTCTATGAATGTGGATAATGCTGATAAGTTTTTTGTATTTTTCTCTCTAGGAAATTATTTTAAACACATAACACACACTTTCTAACATAGCGTCGCATTGATACTTTGTCATTCATTAAAGTTGTGTTGTGCTCCAATACATATTGGCATTGAATATGAAACCACCAGTTTATTTGAAGAATTGATTAATTATTGTCAGTTACTTATTATTAGAATTATTAGCCTAATTATAAGACTAATTTCTACTTAATTTATTTGTTTTTATTTACTTCATTTATTTTCCTTTTCTATATTTATATATTTCCTAGTTGGTTTATTTCTGAATTTATTTTTTTCTTTTATTTGGGTCTTGTAATATGTATTTATACCTCTTTTTCTTATCAATGAAAGTATCAAGCTATATTCTCAAAAGTTAACATGATATCAGAGCCATAGTTCGAACCCTAAGAGCTTCTATCCTAGCTGCTGACTATCTGCTGGTCCTTCCCTAAAGGTGTTCTGCTGCCGGCGAACAACAGGTTCTCCCTGATGTATTTCCTGCCGCCAACCACTTGCTTGTCCTAGCGTCTCTACCTTGCTGCCAGCCAAACATCAAAGCTCCAACTATTAGATCTCAGCCGTCGGCCACCTGCTTTTCTTGCTGACAATAGTTTATAGCCGCCGAAGATCCTATTAGCCGGCCTAAACTTTCTCCAATCGACCTGTTTTTCCCCCGACTGGAGTTTCCAGGGCTCTTCCCAAGCCACCGGGTCCTTCCTTTGTCCAGCCTTCAAGATTTTCCTATGTATAGGCAACCCAACATCACATCTAGCTTAGTTGAAATCCTGGTGGATTCTTCCATCGTTGACCATCCTATCGGTGGTGTGCTTGAGTCCACCGAAGGGTCGACAACGATCTCGATTCCTCCGCAGACCGAAGGACCGGAAAATCACATAAACTTTCTAATCACTCCCCGTGAACCAAACATATCTAATTTTCTTCAATGGTCCCAAACTATGTCTTTGTTCGTTAAGGGATTCGAGAAATTCGGCTATCTCACGGGAATTATTTGTAAACCTCCTAAAACTGACTCGACCTACGAAGCGTGGGAAGTGTAGAATTCCATGATCATGTCGTGGTTGATTAACTCTATAGGAACTGCAATTGACCGTTCGTATATGTTTCTTCTTTCTGCTAATATTCTATGGACTGCAGTTCAAGATACCTACTCAGATGTAGGAAACTCCAGCCAAATTTATAGACTCCCAAGAAGATCTGCGAGGCAAAACAGGGGTCGAAGATAATGACCCAGTAGTACAATGATTTGTTGGCCTTATGGATGGAATGCGATATCTATTATGACTACACATTGGAAGTCCAAACCATGTTCCAATTTTTGGTTGGTCTCAACAAAAACTTTGTTGAAGTCAGGGCCGTATCCTTGGCTAGGATCGCCTTCCTTCTGCTCGTGCTGCACTCACAAAAATTCAACACGAAGAGAGCCTGAGAAATGTCGTGCTCGACACTTCTACTTCTGTTCGATCATCTGCCTTGACCTCTAATAGTATTCAACTCTCGTTAAATCCTCCTCTAACTACTGGGTCCACTTGTGATTACTGTCACAAATCCAATCATACTGAAAAGTGTTGAAAACTCAAAGGGAAACTGAAATACAAACCTTTAGCCAAGTCCTTCTCTGCCAATAGTCTCACTACGACACCTGAATCTACTATGGTATAACCAGCTCCCACTCGGAACTCTCCGGAATCACCCGACTCTCTTAAGGATTAAATGAGCATTTAATTAATCTATCAGATCCAATCAGTTCACTTCCGGCATGTCAAACTCCCACGTTCATCAAGGCATAATTCCTATGACACTCACTCCTTTTTCTAGTCCATGGATCATTGATTCAGGTGCTACGGACCACATGAATCGATGGTCTCAAACTTTCTTGACATATTATTCATGCTCTGGGTAAGATGCAATTAAATTGTTGATGGCTCCTGTAACTATTACTGGTAAAGGGTCGATTGTGTTAACAACCAGTTTAACTCGAAAATTTGTGTTACATGTTTCTTTGTTGAAGTGTAATATATTATTTGTTAGTAAGCTGACACGTGACATGGATTATGTTACTCATTTTTCTCGTGATGTTTGTGTCTTTCAGAATCGTTGTTCAGAGAGGATGATTGATACTACTAAACGAACAACTAGACTCCTACTTCTTCCAAGAGAAAAGCACGGAGAGTGAAGACACTTCTCCCAGTAGTTGCAGCTTTTTTCAATCTACTAAATGTTCTATTATGTTGTTACATTATCGTTTGGGGTATCCCAGTTTTCAATATTTAAGACAATTGTATTCATTGATATTTACTAATAAAAATGCTACCAACTTCAAATGTAAGATTTGCCAATTAGTTAAATATCATCGTGTTTCTTATTCATCCCATACTTACACGCCTTCCGCTCCATTTTCTCTTATTCACAATGATTTGTGGGTTCTGCTCGCACTCCCGTCTACACTAAAAAACGGAGGTCCTTGTCAACCAGACAACCATAACTTTCTCCCATTCTCCTTATCTATACTCGACGCACCCATGTTCCCACTCTGGAGCCAACTACCTCTTTACAAATCTGGAATCCACTTCGAGCAACATCTCCAGAACTAACACCACTCCGAATGAGGAAGTGAGTTCTCATATTGAAATATGCAATCAAACAAGCTCTCTTTATTCCATGGAAAGTATATCTCTTTCCATAGTGTATCGCCGACCTATAAAACGTTTGCTACTGCCCTGGTGGATCATCACCTCCCATCCACTATTGAAGCATCGTTAGCTGACCCTTTTTGGAAAGCTGCAACAATGGATGAGATAAATGCCCTTCAGCGGAATCATACATGGGATGTTATGGATCTTCCTCCAAGTAATAAATATTGGGGTGCCGCTGGTTTTTTAGCATCAAGTTTAACTTTGATATATCCTTTGAACGCAATAAGACACTGTTAGTCACTAAAGGAAACTCACAAACATACATAGTTGATTATGAGGAGACATTTGCTCCCGTTGTTATTTTTTTTTTTTACCATCAGACTCGTCATCTTATTGTATCAGATCATCATTGAGACTCCTGTTGTTAAATTAAACACCCATTAGGTCCTACTTTTTGGATTGTTTGGATGTGAAAATCGCTTTCCTAAATGGGGATCTTACAGAGGTGTACATGTGTCTCCCACCAAGATTTGACTCTACTTTATTTTGGGGACAAGTGTGTCTACCTCGGAAGTCTCTCTACAGACTGAAGTAATCTCCAAGGGCCTGGTTCAACAAGTTCACAAAGTTGGTAATGGGTCATGACTTTTCTAGTCCCAATCAGCTCATACCCTCTTTTTTCGACATTCCTCCTGCTGCAAATTCTATCATTATCATCTATGTCGATGATATTGTGCTCACAGATGATGATCTACCGACATTAGAGTCTTTGAAAGACATTTTTGCTACTTCATTTGAAATTAAGGACTTGGGGTCGCTCCGACATTTCTAGGCATGGAAGTTGCTCGGTCATCTCGAGACATTTGTCTGCCTCAGTGCAAATATGTGCTTAATCTATTGACAAAAATAATTTGTTTGTTTGCAAACTAGTGGCAGTCTCGATGAATTTCAATGAGAAGTTAGCTGATGTTCTCTATGCGGTTTCAGTAAACAAGACTCACTATCAACGTTTTGTAAGGAAACTCATTTACTTTGCCCATACTCGACCTGCCATTTACCATGCAGTAGATATCGTGAGTCAATTTATGCATGATCTCTATGAGCACTATCTCCAAGCTACCCGCAGGATCCTTCATTATTTAAAAGGCATACCGGCTTAGGATTGTGTTTTTCATGTCATATCTCTCGTTCTATTGCTATTTATATGGTTACAGATTAGGCTGGGTTAGTCTATGATCGGTGATCTACTTCAAGATGTTGTTTATTCATGTGGAGAAATCTTATCACGTGGAAAGAAAATCGGTTTCAGCTCAAAGCTATGTTGAAGTTGAGCTTCGCTCCATGTCTTTTGGTGTCGGTGAAGCTTTCCGGTTATGCATAATGCTCCGTGAATTACGTATGCCGGTCTCTGCTTCTCTCGAGCTGTTCTGTAATAATAAAACCACAATTAGCATTGCCCATAATCTGGTCCAACATGATCACAACAAACATGTAGAGATTGACAGACACTTCATTAAGGAGAAGCTTGATTTAGTGAAGATTTGTATTTCATTTGTCATATCTAATAGTCAATTGATAGCTATTCTTACCAAACATTTTTCTCGGCCATTATATGGGGACTTTAAATTCAAGTTGAACATGATGGACGTCCATGCTTCAACTTGAGGGTGAGTATTAGAATTATTAACCTAATTATTATGTTAATTTCTGCTATAGTTATTATAGCTTTTATTTGCTTTCTTTATTTTCCGTTTTCATATTTATGTATTTTCTAGTTGGTCTATTTTTGAATTTATGTCTTTCGTTTTATTTGGGCCTTGTAATATGAATTTATACCCTTTTCCTATCAATGAAAACATCAAGTACTATTCTCAAAAGTTAGCACTTACAATTCTTTTAAAAGTGTTCTAGCCAGAAAAATGCTTAAGCGGAGTCTTCCAGAATCTCGCCATCCAAGGATTATTTTGATTAGGAGTTCAAGTTTATGACAATCACTACTTCATATCCACTTCATATATTTTCTTAAATGGAGTGACATGGGCTTTGAGATAAAGGGAGAGGTGGTTTTCGTATCTGTGTAACTTCTGAACAGGCATATGGCAACTTTTATCATCTGTCCTTCGATGCTTTTTTTTTTTTTAGTTCTGTGGTTTTTGCTAGAATTTTTTAATTTATTCTTTGTATGTTTTCTTTTCAATGATTCTATGATTACAACGATTCCAGTACCGGATCATTTGATACCCAGAAAGATGCAGTAACAGAAAGGGATTTGGAACACCTGACTCATCTTCTAGATGGTAGGGATGGAGACATGGTTTGGCAAAATCAAATGGAACGAACTACATCAAACATGAGTTACCAAGCTTGGCTCCATGAACATGAGGTACCTATTCTCCATTACTTCTGTCATCTAATCTCATAATTCTGTCTTATAAATTGTTTCCTTTTGCAGTCATAAACTGCAGTAGCACTCCTGGACTAGTTTGTTCCAGTTCATCATCTTTTTTGCCAATTCTTGTTTATATTGTTAGAGAAAAGCGCCAAAATATCCTGGGGTTACTTAGTTATAAAGTCTGTAAGAATGCCAAATTAATTTTTAGATTCTTGTAATATGGCTGAAATAGTTCTCAACTTTTTTAAATGGAGGATTATTTGAGCCCCCATTAAAAAAGTCTTGGGATTAGTTTCATTTTTATAGATTCTGGGACTATCGTACAAAAGTAGATTCTGTTCTACTAAATGTCATTCTTCGCTCTTTAGCCATGGTCCATCAGCTTATTCATCATATCTTCATAGTTTTCTGTGATCAGTAATGCTCATGGTTGCATATTTTTTTTCTCAGACCAGTCCTATAATCTATCGTAGTAGAACAATTTTTGAGGATGCAAGCCCAGAGTTGGTAAGAGATTTCTTCTGGGACGATGATTTTAGATCTAAGTGGGATTCTATGCTTGCTTACAACAAAATTTTGGAAGAATTTCCGGACTCTGGAACAACAATTGTTCACTGGGTAAAAAAGGTGCTCGACTAGTATCGCTAACTCAGTTGTCAAACTGAAGAAAGCTTCTAAATTACTTAAAAGCTGACTGGAGTTTATATTTTCTTCTCAGTTCCCATTCTTCTGCAGTGACCGGGAATATATCATCGCCAGACGCATATGGGAGTCCAAAAAGACTTACTACTGTGTGACCAAGGTTTAGAATCGTTCAATTACACTGGCATTCTTGTATGGTTGTCTTTGCATTGTTTTTCTTGTGTATGCTTTGTTTATTTCAACCAATTTGTGCTGATCATATGGGTTATCAACCAATTGACTAGATTTGTCCAGGTGTGGTGTGGGACTTAGTGGGCCATTCTTGTATGGTTCTCTTTGCATTGTTTTTCTTGTGTATGCTTTGTTTATTTCGTCCAATTTGTGCTGATCATATGGGTTATCAAACCAATTAACTAGATTTGTCCAGGTGTGGTGTGGGACTTAGTGGGCCCCACTCCTTTGAAACCCCTCAAGCAATCATCCCACTATTTCCCTTTGTAAATTTTGTCCCACACCTTTTAGTATGACAAATGGGGAGTTCGTTATCTATAAATATGAGAGGAGAAGTAAAACAAAATAGAAGGAAGAGGAGATCATATGAAAGTCTTGTCGTATCAGTGCCTTGATGTTCAAAATATATGGAATACTTCTAAAGTCTACCTCTCTTCTTCCTCTTTATCTTACTTGTCATTGTACTGCCACCTTAGCATCTTCAAAAAATCTCTGTTCCTTTTTTCTCTGCATGGGTAGGATACTTTATGTAACCTTAACGTTTATTACACTAAAGCAACCACCTTTCCTAGAATGGGCATGATAAGCTCAACTTATAGTTGCTTCATTTGCCAAGTGTTGTGCGGAAGCGTTGTTGAAATTTTTTGTGAACATGGTCATGGATGTTTTGCCTGTAGCGAAGGACTTAAAAATATTTAAATAAAATGAATGAAGCTTCTAGAATATATGGTCTCTAGAATAGTCACTCTACATTTCTTTAATTGCACAAGCCAGTGTTAAGTTTAGTAGGTTTGAGTACGAACCTCCACAAACTTTTGTTTAAAGAATGAGAAATTATACAATGGATGAGAAAAGCCTCCTCGTATGTCTTCCAAATGCTTTGATAAAAATAAGTTCCATATCTTAGTTTAATCTAGGGGATATTTTAGTATAATTTTCTTAATCTGTCACTCAAATAATCTTTCATATCCTTTGGATGATCTACAAAATAGTGGACATACATGCAAGTACAAAATGATGAAGATGGATGATTTGATAGTGTACTTGGGCACTAGATATAACTCTTTGGCGAATCTAGTTGCCACACTTGACAATGAACTTTTGGTCCATTTAAAGTGTGCTAATGATATGCCACAATTATATTGGTTTACATCATCTAGTTAAAGCTACGTTTTACTTGAACAAAAAAAAAAAAAGAGTTTTTTATGAAATCACGTAAGAGATTATGAATTGCAGAAAATTTAATAAAATTATAAAAATAGCAGAAGTTTTGTAAGTTCTTAGAAATCATTGAAAAATTAAGATAAATGAAAAATAAATAAATTTCAATAAAAAAGTAATAAATTCTATAAAACATTTAAAAGTTTTACACATTTTCTTAATTTTTCTTAGGTTTTTTTTATGAAGCAGCTTATTCACATTTTTTTGCTTGTTAAGATATAAAATATATAATGGAGAACTATGAAAATGAAAAAGTAATGAGAAAACTCATGATTGTTTGGATCGGATCCTTTCTTTCATGTAGAAAAAGTTGAGACAATACACAACTTGACAACCATACAAGTAAAACAAGGTTTTGTGGATTTAGTTGACCAACAATTTAACCGTACAGACTATTCTTGTAAGTTTTGTATTATCAAGCGATATGAATGTTGTTTTAGAGTCATCTCTACTCATTTGATGGACACTATATTTTATCATCAATTATAAAGTCAGATGCATGATGGACAATGGCCTTAACATAATGTTTGTTTCAGTTGGCTCAGCTTGTGTACCAATAAGTTAACCACCCTTGTATCACAAGAGCATGATAAATTCTAAATCATTGATTCTTAACCCCAAACCTGGGTAGTAAGACCACTTATCGATGCTAAAACCTATACAATGTTAAACATTAATTGTGCTTCTACATGCTACAAAAATTCATCATCTCTCCATTGCATTAAAACATGAAAAAATTACAATGTTTGCCCAACAAGCAAACTTTTGAAGGTTTACCAATTAATGATAAATCTTATGGCATTGATTCTTGTTTACTCATACAAATTAACATAAAATCAATGATATAATTATTTGAAGTTGTGTGACTATCCGGTGTTTCTTCCATCGTTATTAATAATGATGACCTTGGAATTTTCTTATCGCTGGAGAACATATAACCAACTTCCCTTGCCACCTTTGATGGTAGTTACATGCATTGAGAATCATAATCAGACGCGCATTCCATTAACTTCGAGCAACAAACAAAAGTCTCTATTTAAATCAAGAAAATAACAGAAAGCTTTATTCTTCTAATGATGGTTGCATTAAAAGAATATCTTATTTGAAGGAATACCATCTCAGTAATAGTACAAGTTGCTCAAAACACAAAATACTTGTACTCAAGGGCTATTTCTTCCCTGTGAATGATCTAGCTACCGAAAATCATAATCGACAGAACATTATTATCACCGCCACCACCAATAAAAAAGATAGATGGTCTTTATCAACCCACTAATGGACATGTTGAACATAAAACATCTTAAATGAAGGGGACCCCAAGAATAAATCCTATACATCATGGCTTGTGGGCAGTATATTTCCTCACTCTTTATTTTGATGGTGCGCGCATTAGAATATAAATCAAAACTAAGGGGATTGCCTTAAAATTGAAAATCAAGTTTCTGTTAAGAGGGCACTTAGCCTGAGGGCAAATTTCTCATTTGTATGCCTAAGGACAATTTAGTCCTTTATTATTATTATTGTTGGGTATAAATAGTCTTGTTATGTTTAAGATTAGGTTTATGCATGAGATTGAATTGTGAATTAGGTCTTGGGAGGGACTTCCTACCTCTTGAATTGTAAGATTTTGGAGAGATCGCCTACCTATCGAATTGTAAGATTTTAGAGAGATCGTCTACCTCTCGAATTGTAAGATTTTAGTGAGATCACCTACCTCTCAAATTGTAGGTGTTTATCTTCTGTATTTGTGTGAGTTGTTAGGATTATGAAGAAATTATTCATGTTTGCCCTAACTTATGTAAAAATTCGAGTCGATTTCAACGTCATATCGTATCTAATTGGTATCAAAGCAATATTTCTGAGAAGAAGTGCTCAGAATTGTCATACAATCGCGATTTAAGCTTGCGGGGAAGGCAACGACAAGCTTGCGGCTCACCGAAGAAGGCAACAAAGGGCTTGCGGCTTACATAAGACAATAGATTGCGACGTAAGGAAGAATCACGACATACCTAGGACCGGAACCCACCCTCTTCCGCTCCATACTCACGCAAATTAGTCGCGACTATGACTACAGGATCACAACTCACAATGACGAGTTGTAGCTTTTCTTTATGTGATAATAACTTTTGTGGGCAAGGCGACGAAGGAATCGTGTCTTCTTCTGTGAAGATCGACGACATCAACGAAATCACGGTGTATACAAATCCATAACTCACAATCTCTCCCATTTCAACGCCTTCTACTCGATACGCTCACGATCAGACCTAGCTGGGAGGGCAACGACTGGGAAGCCGCGAACAGAGATCGGAAACTCCTATTCCTCTACTCCTCTTGCTCCGTCTATGTGATCCAGTCGTGATCAGAGCTAGCTGGGGAAGGTAGCGGCGGGGAACTGCTTACAAAGAACCTAAACTCCCATTTTTCTCTTCCTTGTGTCATATACACGATATATTTTGCGATCAGAGCTATCAGGGAATGCATAAATGGGGAGGCGGCTTACTGAGATCCAAAACTTGTGATTTTTATTTCCTCACATGCGATACAGTCACGATCTGCAGTGCCCCGTGTAACTGGGAAGCATCGACGAGATCGGCTGATTAGGATACATTCTTTATAAGAGCTACGTGGAAGCCATTGATTAGATTTCAACATTTAGTAGTTTCTCTTACGAGATCTAAAATTTTTCTAATATAAATGGTGACCAAGAAATAGAGCCATGGGGAGAAGAAGTTAGAGGAAGTGACTGAGTCAAATTAGATCGGGCATGGAAAAAAGATTCGCCATCATGGAGGATAGACTTTCGTCCATAGAAAGACAAATGGAGGATGGATTTGAGAGCATAGGCAAAATACGAGAGATATGAAAAAGCTTATGAAGATGCAGTCCAATGCCATTCCAATCGCTCATTTGCAAACCATACAAAGCGTTGATCAGAGAATCCTTGGCCGAGTCAAAAGAGAAGGAGATCGAACGAGAAAACAATGAGAAATACATCTTCTATCAACATGAGCGTCCCCCTAGTAATCCGAGAGGAGGGGAATAGAGACTTTCAAGGGAGGGAGATGGGCCGAAAATTGGAGAAGGGATGGTGTAAGGGCTACAGAAGAACACAAGGGAGGAAGGAAGGAATCGGGAGTTGGGTATGCCTATTATCGGATGAGGGAGTTTAGCCCTAGATATATGGGCGGAAATACCGGAGGAAGATAAAGTTGGGGTGGAGATGTTAGAGTTATGAAGTTGAAAATGTTGATCTCCGAGGGGGAAGATGCACATGGGCGGTTATATTGGGCAGAGCGATACTTCGCAGTGAATGAGTTAGATGGGGAGAAACTCATGGCGGCAGGATTGTGTTTGGAGGGGAAGGCCTTAGCTTGGTTTTAGTTGAGTGGGTATGCCTATGATCGGAGGAGGGAGTTCCACCCTAGATACATGGGGGGAAAGGATAGAGGAAAAACAAGTTGGGGTGGAGATTTAGAGTTAGGAAGTTGAAGATGCCGATCTTCGAGGGGGAAGACGCACATGGGTGGGTATATCGGGCGGAGCGATACTTCGTTGTGAATGGGTTCGATGGGGAGGAGAAATTCATGGCGACAGGATTGTGTTTGGAGGGGAACGCCTTAGCTTGGTTTCAGTGGAGTGGGGCTAGATACCCGATTCGGTCGTGGGACGAATTTAAAGATTGTTTCTTAGAACATTTTCGAGCTTTTTGGGAAGGAGATCTACATGAGCAATTTTATGAATTGACTGAGGAAGGGATGGTCATAGGATTTAGGGAGAGATTTGAATTATTGTCAGAACAACTGTGGGGGATTTCCAAAGCAGGATTGGAGGGGAATTTCACGAAGGGTTTACAGCTCGACATTTGAGCAACACTCCTGCTACTAAGTGTGCGGGGATTGAGGGAGATGACAAAGCTAACCCAGTAGTGGAAGACAAGAACCATATGAAGCAAGGCAATAGAACAACACAGATGGAGTGTCGTACAGAACTGCTGCAACCACGACGACGCCAAAAATTCAGACATTGGAAGTCTAGAGGGAGGCTGAATGAGACATGAATGGTGGACCCCGACTGAGAGCAACACTCAAGCATCTTACAGAGACAGAAATTTGGGATAAGTGAACCAAGGGGGTATGCTTAGAGTGTGATGAGAAGTTTACCCTAGGACACTATTGCAAGGATTAGAGATTACAAGTTCTCATAGTGCAGGACTAGGAAACATCAAATGAAGTAATAGAGACAACTGTGGGGGAGGGGGACGAGCACTTTCATTTTTTTCCCATCTTAAGGACAATGTGTCTTTTTTTGTTTTTTTTTGGGGGGGGGGGGGGGGTATTGTTTAGCAAAAGGGAAAATACTTTTATTTTTATTATTATTGGGTATAAATAGTTTGTTATGTTTAGGGTTACGTTTATGCATGAAATTGAGTTGTGAGTCTTATGTTTAGGTCTTGGTAGACACTTCCTACCTCTCGAATTGTAGGGGATAAATTGCCTACCTTTCAAATTGTAGGTGTTTATCTTTTCTATTTGTATGAGTTGTTTGGATTATTGAAGAAAATATTCGTGTTTGCCTTAACTTATATAGAAGTCCGAGTCGATTTCGACGTCGGATCGTATTAGTTTCCTAAGGCATGATGTTGCATTTAAAATATAAAATATAGAATAAAGATTGAAAATTACTAATGTTTTTAGCTTTCCATCTCCATGCTTTAGAGTTGCCACCCTCTGCTTGAAATTTGCCGAGGCCATTAAAGCCAATACTTGACCAAGCTCCACAAAGATGTTGATGTGATATCAATTTGGCAATGGCAACATGCTATAAAGAAATCTAGTGCCAAATATGGCATGGAAAAGACCTTGTTTTGGGTGTTCATACCTTAAAAGAGTTACTAAGCTACTTCAACAAAACAAAGGACAGTCAATATTTTCCCAGTGGTTATGTTAATGAGTTAGTAAATTGTACGAGTCATCCGACTGGCGTAAAGCCCTTTGTTTGCTGGGGTTGACTGTGAAATTGGTCCATTTTTGAAGTTTCCCATCTATGTTATCTGAGGTTCTTTTGGACAAGGTATGCCATTTCTAATTATGACTCTTAGGCGGAAGAAAAATAAAATGTTGTCTTTTAAGTATTTCGATTAGGGTGCACTCACACTATGGAAATTACGAATGCATATATTTAATAAATAGTAATAGATATTAGAAAAACAATTGAAGTACCTTTTGAACTGTTTTGTAGTCTTTGTACATATTAGTTGCATCCCATGAATTGCATCAAGTGTCTTATCCAATAAAACAATAAACTAGCCTTTACCAAATTTATGATAAGATGCTGTTCATTTTGTTAGTTGGTAAATAGTTTCTTTGATATCTAAATTTCCTTAACCAATACCATGTGTTTCTTGGTGATAGGGTTTATTTTTGACATGTAAAACATATGAATGCTTTTAACATGCACTTGAATATTGATTTTATTGGGAAAAAAAACTTTATAGTTACTAATTATTCTGAATAAATTCCTATGAGAAGAAAACAAAATTTGCTTTAATCTTCCCAATAAGAAAAGTGTATAAATAGTGTACTATTCTCAAGTTGTTGCAGTTGCTTAGGATTTTACGTGGGTTGGGGTTGCTCATATAACTCTAATTTTGGCTATTCAAACATCTTAATCGGCTACAGCTAATGTGCTTAGGCTTATATGGGCTCTGGTTGACCTATTAGCAATTCATTATTTAGCCTTGTTGCCAATAGCTTGGGGTGTTTGTTGCTATCAAATTGCTTGAAACAAAATGGAAATGATATTGAAAGTCGGCGTGAACCCTTGACCTCTTGTGTGTGTATGTCTATATATATATATATATTTAAGTTCTTCATAGGTTTTAATCGTATCCTTACTTGAGCTTAGGTTATATAAGACTCTAATAGTAAGTTGATACATTGCATTGGAGTCCTGGATAACATCTCCAAGTTTTCAATGCAAACACAACAAAATTTACCGACCAATTGTGGGTAGAATAACTTTTCTCATAAATTTTTAGTTGTCTTGTGGCACAGACAATAACTCTTGACTATATTATATTAAAATAAGGCCTAAACCTATTAATTGTGCATCATTAAAGATTCTGAATCTTCAAATGTCTGATGGAATAGTCAACATTGGAGTACTCTTTAAGTCAGCATTCGATATTTAGACTTGCTGCTTACGAAGTCTTTCTTGACAATAACATTTCGATATGAGAGAATCCCTTACTATAACATCTATAAAAATAACATGGCTAAGTATTTTCTCATTTTAATTATGTTAGTTTGTCTGGCGAGTCGACAATACTTTGAATTTTTCGATTATCTTTTATAACATCATCACCATTGATCAGATGGTCTAGAAAAGCTACACTCTTCAACCAAACTCAAATTGGAGAATTTATCATGTAATTCTTTGCCTGAGTGTCTGTAATATAACATGCAAGTGGTTAGCAAGAGTTGCCTCATTCCTTAAAAAGATGAGGAATATATCCAAGAATGGCTTGAAGATTATGTTTGTAAGATCCATGAGCACAATTTGGGCTTTTGTGAATTCGAAAGGCATTATCATAAATTCATAATGATCATATCTTATACTTAAAAGTATTTTAATTGCCTCTTCATCCTTCAAAGTTAGTGATAACCATATCTTACATTGATCTTAGAGAAAATTGTTGTTTCAGAGCATAAATCCATGGTTGAACATGTTGTATTGTTTGAGTTTGATTTAGAGTCAATGCACTAGAACCCATCCACCATTGCTTTCCCTCATGCTAGTTGATACTTCATGAAACCAGCTCGAAGGCATTATTCCTTCTGGTTTCATTCTACCCCCAATCAAGTGTAGGACAATACTTTCCATGTGCCTAATAAAAGACATTTTCTTGAGAGTCATTTATCAACTAATACCACTATCATAATCTGGATCAGAAACTTAAAAGTAAATCAAGGTATGATAGACAATTGTGATGATGGGATTGTACAAGTCACTTCTAATCTACAACAACAACAACGACGACGGCAAGCGTTTATCCCACTAAGTGGGGTCGGCCGCATGAATACTTTTTCTCCATTGTGTCCTATGGAGTGTCATATTCTCATTTAATTCTAATAGATTAAGATCATTTTTTATACAGTATGCCCAAGTTCTTTTAGGTCTACCTGTGCTTTTCTTAACATAAATTGAATATAAAACATCTACTCTCCTTATCGGATCTTTAGAAGGTCGACGTTTAATGCGACCAAACCATTTAAGATGAATCTCTCTATTCTTTTCTGCCACTGAAGCAACGCCAACCCTTTCACAGATAGATTTGTTTTGCATTTTGCTTCTCTAAGTGTCAAGCCACTCATCTACCAAGCATTCTCATCTCAGCGATACCTAACTTTGTTTTATGCTTTTATTTTAAAGGCCAACATTCGTCATCATAAAGCATTGCAGGTTTCACTACGATCTAATAAATTTTTCCCAAGTCTAGGTGGTACTTTTCTATCACACAATAGGCCCGATGATTTCCTCCACTTCAACAAACCAACTTGAACTCTACTAATAACATCCCCATCTATATCACCATCACTTTGAACAATAAACCCAAGATATCTAAAATATTCTCACCTTTTAATGATTTGATCACTCATAGTTACAACTCTACCACTTGAGCTACTACTACTAAAGTTACATTACATGTATTTAGTTTTAGATTTACTAAAATGAGGGCCTTTAGACTCCAATGTAGACCTCCATAATTCACTTTTCTCTTGAACTCTAAAATTACACTCCTAATCTATGATTATTTTAAAATAATAACAAATTATTGTAATATGGATAATATTATGATTATATACTTACATAAAAGACAAATTATAGTGGGATAAAGGCGTGTTGTTGTTATTGTTGTACAGACAAATTATGCTCAACAAAATTGTAAGCACAACATCTAGATCAAAAATTATTTTTACCAAAAAACATTTGATCCGCACAAAACCTTTTACTATTAAAATTTCTTTCAAAATTTTATCTTTTATACATATTAATATTTATTTCATCTATTTTAAATGATTCATCTATTTTATTAATTTCGATTTATGCATCATGATTAAATCTCGAGTCTATTTATAAAAAAGATTGATTCATGAGTATTAATATTGATAGCTCTTGATTAAATAATTATTCAAGTATACATTCATGTACACTTAAAAAATTAAAATCATGTGGATTGCATTCTATTTATTCAAGTTATTATTTATATCACTGAATTTGCAGGGTCTTCCCTATCCTTCTTTGCCTAAGAAAGAAAAACCTAGGAGGGTTGAACTGTATTTCTCAAGCTGGCGCATAAGAGCTGGTACGTCCTCTTTTTCCATGCATGTCAAAACGTCTCTTTCTTTTCTACTACTGTGCTACTTATTTAATCTTTTGTTCTATACCTCCTCCGAAGCTATCTTCTGCACACATCCATCATGGGTAGATTTTCTCCCTGAGCGCACCAAACAATCAAGGCTAAAAATATTATCTACTACATAACTAAATGTTAACCATAGAAAAAATAATAATAATGATCCTATCGAGTCTTGCCCCAACAAAGCTCTCTTAATCGTTCGCGCGAGTCTCCTATCTCCCTCTTTTTCTATGCACCATTGGTGTTTTGTACCAGGGACAACTAAAACCTTACGCATGAATAAAAACCCCAACAATGCCTTCTCTATTTCCTCCTATTTTGCCTCTGAATTGTATTCTCATCTTCTCCATGTTCGAGCGTCTTAGATTGGAGGCCTATCTCTCTCTCCTTTCGCTCCGTCTATGCAAGAGACTAGCCCAACCCAACCGAAGCTGAACCCTTTTCTTCCTCCCTATTCTCAAACCATATTTCTTATATAATATCTAGTATATTATACACACATGCATGTATGTACACACACACAGTGTGTGTATGTATGTATGTACGTATGTCTGTATATAGATATCTCTATGTATATGTTTATAACTTAGGAGATAAATGTATATATATATATATATATATATATAAAGAGAGAGAGAGAGAGAGAGAGGGTTGTATTTTCATTTTGTCGATTGTATTTGTTGCCTTTCGCTCGAAAGTTTAATCAAAGGCCCACATGCGTCGTATAGGCTTGTTGGTTAGAACAACCCTCTCCCGTTGCAGTGTCTCAAAACACTGCTCAATGCGTCTTATGGACAGCTGGGCAGAGCAGACACCCCCGATGCAGCTCCCTAAGCGGGGATAACATTGAGAGACTGCCAAAATTTCAGATGAATTTGGACTAATAAAAATATTTAAAATTGAACTTTTTTGAAGTTGCAAATAGCTTAAAAATGTGGTTCTTTTTGAACTTGCAAATGATGACTTCTTTTGAAGTCATAAGGTAATTAAAAAATTGGACTTTTTGGAAAATTGAACTTTTTGGGCATATAAATTAATTCAAAATTGGATTTTTTCAGACATACAAATATCCTTCGTAAACATTTCATCCCTTTTGAACAGTGCAATCCCGCAGACAAGACGGACAGCATTCCGCCTGTGAAGTAACCTTAGTTCACTACGAGGACATGGGAATCCCAAAGGATGTAGCCAAGGTTGGAGTTCGTCACGGAATGTGGGGAGCCGTCAAGAAACTTCAGTCAGGCATGAGAGCCTACCAGCAGATGAGGAAGACCCAAACATCCCTTTCCCGCCACGCCCTCGCCGCACAGATCACGACGAAGGCAACGCTCGCCGTCGACGCAGATATGTCCAACGAGTCCGAGGAAGCATCTGGTGGGGACGAATCGAACCAGCAAGTGAGCAACGATCAGAAAAAGATTGGATTTCATGGAGTTATTGACTGGAAATGGATTGCTATAGGGGGTGTGGCTTTAGCATGCGGCCTTCATAGTGGGCTGATAGGGAAGGCATTATTGATTGGAACTGCAAGGAGGATTGGCCGGAATTGATCTTCTATTTGATCTCTATTCTAACTGAAGATTTGGCGCCAAGAGTTTTGTTGTGTTTAAGGAACAGAGTGCAGAATGTTTTCTTATCGTTTTAGTTTACGCCTGTGTATAAGTTTCATGGAGCCTCCAAATGTCTTGTGTGCCATAGTTTTTACCTCCAGCTTTGAGATGGCTGTCCCAGAATTCGGAGAAATATTTTTATTACAATTTTATTTTGAGGGACTGAATTGTTATGAATTTGTTTATTTATATAGTCTTTGTTTTTGCAGTTGAATGATGAGAGAGAGAGAGAGAGAGAGTGGTTATGTAAGAAAATAAATTTGGCAGGTGTTGACTAAGCAATATAAAGGGGCATTTGCATGCATACCTTCTAATTCTTATGTATTTACATGACTAATATCTAAATTTCACAACAATCAATATTTTAAAGGGATAATTACATATAGGCCACCCTAAATATTGCTATTTACAAATTAAACACCCAGGTGATGCATGATCAGACTTTTGATAAAAATGAAAAATATGGGTTGGGGTTTCACCATGAATTTTAATATTTGAGTGAGAATTTGAAAAATGGTGTGGTTGATTTGTGTAAATAGTGAGTTTTGGGTGGTCTTTATGTAATTCGGCCAATTTCAATATAACTAGAAAAAGAACACCACTATTATTAATTTTGGAAGGTGAAATACATGTCTATGTGCATAACTTTATGACTTTGAAATGTAATAAATGTAAATATTAAATTTAGGTGTTTGATATATAAACTTGTGAGATATGGTATGTACGTATATTTGTCAAATTAGGAGTTTTTATATTTATTTAATTTGATCAGCCACACATTATATAAATGGGGAAGCAAACTTAACTGTTTGGGGCAGCTTATTTGGTGCGGTAACGTTTTGAAAACACACCTAGCCTGTTTGGGTAAATTGTGTTTTGGCAACTTGTGCATTTTCAAAATGCTGAAAATAACGTTCTCACTGCACCTATTTTATCAACAGATTATTTTTAATCAACTTATCAGCTGATTATTCAATAAGTTGCATCGCCCCAAACAGATACTTAATAAGTAGAACATTTTTCCTTAATTCCGGTCATATGTTTTGGCTTAAATGCACTCTTTATTATAGAAGAAATATGCGTCATGATATTAAATATGAAAATCCTAAATATTATACCTATAAAGGTGGCGTAGTTATTAATTAATCAATTAAATAAGATGGAATTGATGCAACAGCCTATGTTTTATTATACTTGAATCAATGTTTTGCGACACCTCATGTGACATTTACAGAATGTTTATTCATGTTTTTATTTTTATAGAGATTTCTAAGCAAACATCATCTTCAGATGTTTTTTATATTGTGCTCGTACTGCACTTCTTCGCAAGTCTAAATTGCAGGGAAGAATTGCATATATACCATAACATTTCTATGTATTTACTAGGGGCGTAAACGAGCCGAACACGAGTTTATATTTTGAGCTCGTGTTTGGCTCGTTTATATTTCGAGCTCAAAAGGTGTGTTCGTGTTCGGCTCGTTTGCTTAACGAAACACGAGTTTTTCACGAACAAAGAGTACTTTTAACAGCACTAATCACGTAGCCATAAGACGATAAGGGTTTGAGCAAGATTTAAAAATTATTATTTATATTAAAACATCATTTAAATCTAATTTAAGAATTTTTATTTTATTTTTTTAATTAATATTTTAATTGATTATAAATCTTTGTAGACTTGTAGTTAATTAGATTTTTGTAAAATACTACTTTTATATATA